CTCGGCCCCTCGCTGTCAGCTCCGAGAGAGGCTTGACGCCCTTTGTCTCCTTGTCTCCCTGTAGGTAGAGCCTGTGTGGTGTAGGAGGGCAGCACACAATGCACGTGCGGGCCAAGAAATCATGGAAGCCGTCGTCGATCACGCTGGTTTCTTGCAGAGATCGCAGGTGGAAAGGTGGGAAGGAGTGGGGGGAGAGAGGCCATAGGGATTCCGAACAATTGCCTTTCCGGGCCATATCAACGGAACCCCCATCAACCACTCAATTAATTAGCCCTTCCCTCCTTGCGATGCACCCGACGCACCTCCTCATTTCTCTATCTGACTTTTTATAGTCAGCAAGTTTGAGATCTATCTGATCTTCCTCCGCTTCTCGGTACGTACGGTTGTTGTTCCCTCGACTATGATACGCTTATACGGAGCATACTTACAGACCTCCACTATGTATAACATCCCGTCGTGAAGATCAGGAAGGTGTCAGCAAAAGCAAGAAGCAGCAATCATCCACAATCACACAATGCGCATTGCCCTGGTTGTACTTTTTCATTCTCGGGTTTTACTCAAAACCCGGGTCCCGAAGCCGCGTCGTATAAAAGTCCGCAATGGTCCAGCTTCGGAACCATTCCTCTTTCTGAACCCTCCAAGTGGAAGGCGACGAATAGAATGGAGTCGCCTGCCCAATCAGGTATAATTTCTCATTCATCCGCAAAATTGAAGTGTTGCAGCAGCGGACTCGTTAGCTTCACGGGCAGGCTTGGCTCAAAGTTTCAATTGCTCGGGATTCTCGAATTGGAGAACCACAGTAAAAGAGTGCATTGCGAAGCGGTTTCCAGATTCGCGAGCAATGTCTCTCAAGAACACAAAAGACCGAATCGCGCGGGCTTTTGATCTTCGCACCTTTTGATGAAGGGCGGACTAAAGAGATCTGCTCCATCGTGGGGAAGTCTTAACCAACCCTACCCAACCCAACCAACCAAAAGAAAAATAGGGGCTATCTCGCCAGAAGCCATGTATGCCATGGTATCTTTCTTGGAAATATTCAGCTCAAATCAGATATCTTTTCTGGTGATCCAATACCACAAGCCCATTCCGCCGCCTCATTACAATGACTTGCAGCGCCACCAGACCAGGTGCCTCAGTTCATCAGCGCGCAAGTAAATGCAGCAAGCCAGCTAGCCTTAACCGCGAATTTATACCTAACGATTTCATTTAATAAAAACGTGTGAATGATCAGACAGACAGAGGCAGAGAGGTTCATGATCACACCGCTGACAGCGCGTCTACATACATACGCCGTCCCGCTCAATGAGGATCCCAGATCCAGGATCCAGTCCGTCCTAGCCTAGGACAGAGAAAACAACCTTGAAAGAAAGAAAAGAAAAGAAACGCAGGGCGGTCCCTGGCAAGTGGAAGGGAAGCAAAAAACGGAACCCGACCGATGACCGACTAACCACCGCCGCGGACTCCATGTCGGCGACCCAACCCACTGACCCAAGCAACCCCTATTTCACAGCCTCGATGGATCCTCTTCAGACACAAAGATAAGGACGGGGTCCAACAACGACTCCCAACCTCACTCAAGTCCTAACCCTTTTCAAAAAGAGCCTTGCAAGTTGCAAGCAAGCCCTTCAAGGTTCTTCTGTCTGTTCAGTCTCGCCAGTAGTCCGAGATCCGAAGAGACATTCATCTTTGCTGTTTCTCTTTCTAAAGATGAAGACTGAAACATCCGACAAGATTTGCGGCTCAGCCCGGCCTGCCCGCTCACTGCCAGCCCAGTGCGGCGCCTGCCCCGACCTCCCGGTGTATGCCGTTACCGCTGTGAGCCTGTGTCTACCTAGCAGGGCAGGGCAAGACAGGCAGGGCAGGAAGGACAAGGCAGGGCAGGGGGCACAGGGCATAGAGAAGCTATCCCGTGACTGCCTCTACCAAATAAACGTCGACCGCCGCTTTAGTGAATGATGACCCTTTTCAGTAAACAATCCCTTTCTTGGATACATACCTAGAGGACCCATCTCTTGTAGGGGTTGGATCTGATCTGATCTGATGTGATGTGGTTCCCGACATGGTGTTCTCGTGTAACACGCCAATTTTACCTTGTGAGTCTGTGAACGGTGTTTCAGTGACATTCAGGTTGTTCACCCATTGGGAATCACTGGAAATCCAAAACCAGCGCAAGGTTTGTTGGGTTTCTACATAAGGTAGTTTGGGGGTTTGGTTTCTCGGGTCGCGGGTGCTGCCCTCTAAGCCTCGTTCGTGATACATACAGTACGCTTGAGTACAGTTCACGAGACGGAGTTTTGAAGTTGCCAGTTTGCGTTTTAGTACTACTTTTGGCATTCTGGCACCTCCAAAGGAAGAGAATGAGACGAACACCGTGCAACTGCAGTGAGCTAGCTGAATGATACCCCGAAAAAGGCTTCCACACTTTCACGATAGGTACATATGTACAGCCTAACTCGGACTTAGGGCTTATGACTTATGACTGACTGCTTGTGATGAATCATCATGACCCCTCATGACGCTTACATCAGGTCGTTGAAAAAATGCCATCAAACTGTAGGTCACAAAACTGAAGATAGCACCAATACCGGTGACATCACACAACCGGCAGAAACAAACACCCGTTATACGCAGCACCATATACCAAAAGCTCCGGGTAGACATACGAATGTACTGCGTAGGGCAAGTTTCATATTACTACTACCACTTTTAAACTTCCGGAAAAGACTGGAAAGGAAAACAAAAGTGGACGATTAAACTTACATTCCTGTGTAACCAAACGTGCGTGTCCGGTATTCCGAGGGCATGAACGATGAACAAGACTCAGAGCCAAGACAGGTGGGAAGGGCCCTTTGTTCTTTCCTCCCTTTTCTGAATAGCTGACGACCGTACACATCCGTTTGGTACCAAGACCATCGAAACCTGAACAACTGAATGGTAACAATTCTCGGAACCACCAGACCGTTGGGTCAGCAGTGCATCGAGTTCCTATGCAAATCAATGGGCTTCGTATCGGATCAGATTGGCTGTCAGCCTAACCTTGAGTTTAAGACCGAGTACACTAAACTTCCCGCTGACAAATAATCAAGGACGGAGTTAACCCCTCGGAACTCAAACTCAGAAACCCAATTCCTCGAATCCCGACGGACTTTCTTCGAGAAAAATGAACACAGAAACCGTACTTCTCTTTCCGTTGCAGTGATTCCAAAGGACCTTCGGCTTCCACTTCGAAAGAACTGAGAACGGATCGTCCCCTATTGACTACCAAACAGGGGTCATCCAAGCAAAGCGGTAGACGGTACCTGAAGGCCAAAGCGGTCGCCAAGAAGGAGGCTTTAGCGAGTCTGTTAAAATTACCGTACAGTTTCGGTGAGAAGCTTAACAATTAATGATGAGTCTTGGATCAGATAAAACATGCGAAGGGACGGACGGGATCGGTTGTTTTCTCTTCTGCCCAAGAATGTGTGAAGAACGTGGGAATGAATTGAGGCTGTGAATACTTGGCTTGGGCTTGGCCCTTTTAGTTTGAACTGTGAGACAGTCTGTCAGTAAAAAGAGAGGACAGGACCGAGGTATCTTGAAGGACTGAGAGCGGTCTAAAGGGAAAGGTGAAGAGTTGAAACCCGAACGTGCTGAAGAAACGGCCCCACTGATTGGCGATGTCGAAGTCCTGGCTTCATTTTAAAAAGATGCTATAAAAGGAAGGGAATTCGGGATGGCATCATCGCCCGCCCGAGGGTCGTCTGTCTTGAAAGAATTGAACCCTTGATGTTTTGTTGATCGTTGAGATCTTTTCTGCTGTAGGGGAAAACACAGAACACTTCAACTGTCTAGAGGAAGTTGAGGATATCATGGGGGCTTCCCCATCTTCCTCTTCGTTTCATTCCATCACGGAACTCATGAGAGATCGAAGAACAATCCAAAACTTCCAAAGACGCGCACAGAACCTCGAGACCAAAAGGTCGGACTTACTTGGGTCAACCCTCAAACTGGAAACGGGAACATCTGATGCCCCGGTATGTCCAAAGCTCCGACACAAAGGGTCAATGCAGGGGTTGCCAAAAGTACCAAATATTTTCCCCTTCGGCCTGCCGTTTGGGTTTGACGTTTCGGAGCTCCGAAGAATCATGTTCGTTCCGATTTCTCGGCCTACCTTGTTTGGGTATGCGCTTGCTGTTGCCCGAAATGTCACCACTCGCTCGTGGATAAAAGCCTCTGGCTGTGCCGCTCTAGAAGCCCTCACCTTATCAGAGCCATAGGCGTTCTGGTTATCTCGGGGCTGACACCACTGACGTCGCTGACAGTCGCTGACAGGTCAAGCCATCATGTGCTGGCATGAGAGATTGAGTGTAAGACCGAGCGAGTAACTGTGAACCGATTGCTCGGAATGGTGTTTTTGTTAGTGCTGAGAGGAAAGGATTGATGGCGTTTCATGTCTTGCGAGGTTGATGAGCTGAGCCACTATGATTCCGTCGTTTTCAATGACGATAGATGTCCCTGAAAAAGGCAGAAAGAAATAAAGGCTCGTACCGATGCGAAGCGGTTGCCTGCGGTACTACAGCAAGCATCTTTCGACGACGAGTTGTTCATCAAAACCGGGCAGTTTGCTTTCCCCTTGTTCAACCCTAACCCGAACCTGCAGGCAAGCGTTTTTGGTGGGGCGACTGGCGGGGATGAATGCACTGCAAAGTGATGCGGGCCCGCTGCGACGCGGGTCAAGCTGCAGCGACGCGTCTCTCACACAATCACCTAAGGACCTCGATGAACAACCACTTTTTTCCCGTTAGACAATCATGATGAGATAGAAAATATCAATCACACATTATTACCGGAACGTCTGCTAGACGTGCTTCTTCCAAGATCCGTATTTGTGGTCGAACAAGCTAACCTGCCCATTTCGTTTCTTGAGTGGAAGATGCTTTGAGGCTCAACAGTCGCATCGTCAAGTTGTCGACAAAATATCCAAATAAAGCAGACCCTTCGATCCGAAAGACACTGTCGCCATGCCCAAGAACGCCGCGATCACGAGCTTTTTCAAGCCGGCCCCACGGGATTCGCAGGACTCCCATGGGAGCTCCCAGGTGCCCCAATCTTCAATCCCACGGTCGCCCATCCGGGGAGCAATGTCGCCGTTCAAAATGCCTGGAACGCCAGGAACGGGATTCAAATCATCACTACCCATCAGATCGCCTGTACCACCACCATACTCTCCGTTGACACTTCTATCATCACCGTTAAAGCCTCGATCCACCGTAAAGCCGGCACGGGACCGAAATGCCGTCATTGAAGCATCCGACGAAGACGACGACAGCGACTTTATATCCTCAGACGATGACCTGCCCGATCTCTTCGCCGAACCCAAGAACGAAGTGCCTGTGTCGGTCCGAGCAAATGGAAGCCCGACGCGAGGGCCATCGTCAAAACGAGTGGCATCGGCCAAGTTCGTGGTGTCGCCCATAAACCTCAACAAGAAGCACAAGTTCGACATGAAAGCGATCCTGAAGCATACCGAGACGGAGAAGAGGATAGCAGAGAGCGAGAAGCGGGTCGAGAAGCTCATGGCCGAGGAGGAGGAGGAGGAGGAGGAGGAGGAGGAGGAGGAGGAGGAGGAGGAGAAACGGGCTAAGCCACTGGCTGTCAAGAAGGAGGGCACCACCACCACCCTTCATGACAACATGCTGAATGCGATGTCCGAAGCGGAAGACAGCCAGGGAGAGGCCAAGAAGGAGAAGCTGTTGAGGGCCGTCAAGAGGACAGAAGCCACAAGTCAGAGGACACAATGGTACTTTTTTGACGACGACGACCATGGACACAAGGCCGTTAATGGTTTGTCCATAGGCTTCCGGAACAAATTTCCCCAGCACGCAGCTACCGGTGTTTGGAAGGTCCTGGCACCACAAAAGGGGAGAATGGATCTCATCGAGCGTGGAGTCGCGTACGATCTGCAGTGCAAGCTACGCAACATACCTGACGAGATCTTTGTCTGGATCGTGGACGAGCTACCGTTCGTCAAGACAAGGCGGTTACGAGAGTCCAACCTCAGGCTTCTAGGGATATGCCCCGAGCAAGCAGGCCGGCTACTCACACCCGACCGCATTATCCAGCTCTTCCGTACCATTGGCACACCCACACGATGTCTCGAGACGCCATCAGAAGACAGTGACAAGAAACCGGACCCCGGTTGTCCCTACAACATCGACAGCCGAGACTGGACTCCCCTGCGCACCGTCCTGCGCATCCTCTCTGAGACCGCCAACGGACTCTCCATCGACTCCCTCATCCGCTCCACGACCATCCTCCTCCGTCTGGGCATGGACGCCAACATCCGTCGCAACCCAGACCTACATTCTACCTTCCGAACAACGCTCATCCACCTCGTCGAAGCCGTACCCTCGTCCTCCTTCGACGCCTTCTGTCTCGCCTGCTGCACTAGTCTCTACTCCCTAACCACGGATTCTACCCTCCTCTCCGACGCTTTGCGGGCTCTACCCTACCAGACCCCGAAACTAGTCAACCTCCGCCGCCGACTTGCGCTCGCCTTCCTCTTCGCCTCCGCCTCCGCGTCCCTCTTCCCCTCCCCTTTCGGTCCAGGATCTTCAGTCCCTTCCCCCATCCAAGAATTTTCTCTCAACGACCCATCCCACACCTTTTCCCTCCCTTTGTTGCTATCCTACCTCCACATATCTCCCCACTTCCAAACCACCCGCTCCTCCTCATCAGCAGATTACTTTCTTCTTTCCGCCCAAACTGACCTCCTGAGAATCGCAATCGGCGACGGCGACCCTCCCTCTTGTCTCTCTCCTGCTTCCCCATCAACCCCTTCAGCAGCTACCACCTATCCCTGGAACAGCAAGGGACAGACACAGTCCAAGTCATCCATCAAAACAACGAACCCCGAAATAAAACTCCACAACCGCCAAATCGACCATCTCACAAAACGTATTCGCAACCTCTGGTCCAACATCCACGACCAATCCGGCTCGTCAGCCGAGATCTCCCGGCTGGAAGCAAAAGTCAAGCTGAAAGATTTGGAGCGCAAGCTGGAGTGGGCGGTTAGGACGAAGCCGGTTAGCAGGGCGAATATCTTTGGTGTCAAATCCGGGAGTGGGGGAGGAGGAGGGGGATCTGGGATATTAAGTGGTGGTTATGGTGGTGACGACCAAGAAGAATTTGATAGTGAGGAGGAGAGGGAACGAGAACAGAAAAGGGAGAGGGAGGGGGTGGAGCAGAAGATGTTTATGAGGAGGTTTTTGGGGAAGGGGGTTGTGACGGCGGTGGGGAAGACGGAGGTGTGAGGGAGAAGGGGGTTTATTGGGTTTGGTGGTGTTAGGGTGGATATGAAGACATGTTTGATATTTGGGCGTTATGAGGAACTGTATAAACGGTGTTGGACATGGGAGGTTATTGGGTACGGCGTACACTGGGTTTGGTATTGTATGTTTAGGAGTTTTGAGAACATGAACATGGGAAAGTGTGGAACGCGAATAGAGCGTCAACTTGTGTTCACTGCTGTCCGTTAATCTATATCTGACATTGTTAGCCTGTGTTGAAGGATGTAAAGCTGCAAGATGGTTTGCGAAGTCTCAAGAAGTCAGAAAACACAGGACCACCTCAAACCGCCAGCGTGGGAAGAACAGTTGCTTTACGTTAATCAAGGGAAACAGTGAAAAAACAACTGTATCATACAAAAACTTCTAACATGATAGCCCATGCATGCATTCATCCATCCATCCATCCATCCATCATCCATAACCACCATCTGCTACTCCGCCAACCTGTTTCTTGGCTTAACTTGTCTTTGTCATTGAATAGCATCAAACAGCGAAGCAAAGACCCCCAATGCTTTAGTCAGAGCCCGCAGACCTCGCTCACAGACAGGAAAGTACCCCTTGTCTCCTCCTTGAACATTTAGGTGCCGCGACTCGTTTTAAGGAAATCGTTCTTGCGTCTTCATAACTCTGTCCGCAAAATCGGCACACATTTAGTCAAAGAACTTGCGGTTGGGGTTGTCGCCGAAAAGAGCCTTGCGCATCGCCGGGAGAGCGCTGTCCTTAAGCAGGTTCAACCTGGCCTCGAAGGTGTTGTCGATATCGATCTTGCCGTTTCCGCCAACGATGACGACGCCACCGGCGCTGTTGTATTCCTCTGTTAGCATATCTCCCTTCTCGCAACTTGGCCCGAGTGAGTCCAGTGGTGTGGTGTAACCTACCTCCCC